CGGCGGTGGCGGTGGCGGCGGCGGCGGCATGGGCGGCGACAACGGTGGCGGCGACGGCGGCGGCGGCGGCGGCGACGTCACCGACAATGACGGGAATGACGACGGCGGCGGCGGCGGCGACTGCGTCGGCGACGGCGGAGGCAACGGCGACTACGACGACGACGACGACGACGACGGACGACGACGGCGACGGCGACGACGGCGACGGCGACGACGGCGGCGGCGGCGGCGCGGCGACGTCGACGGCGACGGCGTCGGCGACGGCGACGGCGACGGCGAGAACGACGACGACGACGACGGGAACGGACGACGACGACGGAACAGCGGCGACTGCGGCGGCGGCGGCGGAGGCAGCGACGACGACGACGACGCCGACCACGACGACGACGGCGGCGGCGGCGGCGGAGGCAGCGACGACGACGGCGACGGCGACGGCGACGGCGGTGGCGACGACGACGACGACGACGATATAGACGACGACGACGACGACGACGAAGACGACGACGACGACGACGACGACGGCGGCGGCGGCGGCGGCGGCGGCGGCGGCGCAGGCAGCGACGACGACGAATGTGACGATGACGAGGACGACGGCGGCGGCGGCGGCGTTGGCGGCGGCGGTGGCGGCGGCGACGACCTCGGGGACGACGGCGGCGGCGGCTGCAGCGGCGGCGGCGGCGTCGGCGATGGCGACGTGATCGCGACGGCGACGACGACGACGACGACGACGACGACGACGACCGGAACGACCACGACGACAACGACGACGACAACGACAACGTCGACGACGAGAACGACGACGACGACGACGACGACGTCGGCGACGTCGGCGACGGCGACGGCGGCGGCGGTGGAGGCGACGATTGCGACGACGAAGGGAACGACGACGACGGCGGCGGCGACGGCGTCGGTGGCCGCGGCGTCGGCGGCGGAGGTGGCGATGACGACGACGACGACGGCCACGGGAACAACCACGACGACGAAGACGACGACGACGACGACGACGACGACGACGACGACGACGACGACGACGACGACGACGACGACGACGGCGGCGGCGGCGGCGGCGGCGGTGGCGCCGGCGGCGGCGGCGGCGGCGGCGGCGCAGGCAGCGACGACGACGAATGTGACAATGACGAGGACGACGGCGGCGACGGCGGCGTTGGCGGCGGCGGTGGCGGCGGCGACGACCTCGGCAACGACGGCGGCGGCTGCTGCGTCGGCGGTGGCACGACGACGGCGACGGGAACCACGACGACGACGACGACGACGACAACGACGACGACGGCGACGACGGCGGCGGCGGCGGTGGCGGCGGCGACTGCGACGACGAAGGGAACGACGACGACGGCGGCGGCGACGGCGTCGGTGGCCGCGGCGTCGGCGGCGGAGGTGGCGATGACGACGACGACGACCACGAGAACAACCACGACGACGATGACGGGAACGACATCGGCGGCGGCGGCGACGACAGCGACGACGACGATGGCGATGACGACGTCGACGGGAACGACGACGTCGACGGGAATTACGACGGCAACGACGACGGGAATTACGACGACGACGGCGAAGACGTCGGCGGCTGCGGCGGCGGCGGCGGCGGTGGCGGCGACGACGACGGCGATCGCGGCGGCGGCGCAGGCGGGCGCGACATCGGCGGCGGCGGCGGCGACGACGGCGACGCCGACGACGACGACGACGTCGACGGGAACGACGGCGGGCGGCGACGGTGGGGGCGGAGGCAACGACGACGACGACGACCGCGACGACGACGGCGGCGGCGGCGGCGGTGGAGGTGGCGGCGACGGCGAACGCGATGGCGACGAGAGGAAAGACTACGACGACGGCGACGGCGACGACAACGACAACGACGTTGACGACGACAACAAGGACGACGACGGGAACGACGGGAATGACGACGACGACGGCGGCGGCGGCGGCGGCAGCGGCGGCGGCGGCGACGACGACGACGACGACGACCACGAGGACGAGGACGACGACGACGACGACGGCGGCGACGACGACGACGACGAAGACGATGACGAACGCGCGGCGGCGCGTTGGCGTCGTCGGCGACGACGACGACGACGACGGCGGCGGCGGCGTGGCGGCGGCGGCGGCGTGGGCGGGCGTAACGACGGCGGCGACGGCGGCGAAAGCGACGGCGACGGCGATGGCGACGGCGACGGCGTGAACGACGACGGCGGCGGCGGTGGCGACGACGACGACGATGATGACGACAACGATGGCGCCGACGACGACGTCGACGGCGGCGGCGACGACGACGACGACGACGACGGCGGTTGGCGGCCGACGACGGCGACGACGACGACGACGGCGACGAAGACGACGGCGGCGGTGACGAAGACGACGGGAACAACGACGACGGTGGCGGCGGCGGCGGCAGATGAGGCAGCGACGGCTGCGACGACGACGACGACGATGACGACGACGACGCCGGCGGCGGCGGCGCCGGCGGCGGCGGTGGCAGGGGCAGCGA